TCAACAGTTTTAACGTTAGCCAGTACTACACGTGTCGTTCTCTTAAAACGCGGTATTTATAGTGACGCTTTATTGTACTTGTGAAATAAGCCGAGAAATTGCCCTATTTTCCTAAAGTATTGGTCAACTTGGCCTAGAAAAAAAAATGGCCCGTCTCTCTATCATAAAAATATAATAAAAATTTTATTATATATTTAGGATTAAAAAAAATTGATTTTGACTAATATGATTGATTACTAGTCATTAAGAATTTGTTTTCACTTTTAATATTTTTTATTTCTAAATATGGATAAAAAAAGACTACATATAACTTTTTATTGAATTGTTCAACTCTATCTATATTTTTGAGTAAGAGATGAATTCAAATACCCATCTGTTCCATAATATCTGTCTCTTTTAAGAATATTTTTTGTTCTATATTATCTGTTACTTTACAATTCCAATGTTGCATTAATTACATATTTTTCAATACCCTTATTAATTCTCCAACACTCTTTCTGCATTAATTAGTAAACAAGGGTATTTTGATCTATCTATATCTATTTTCCAAATTTATTGAGTTCTTAAGACTCATTCCAAGATGAAAAACGACACATATTTAGGTACGGATGGAGTATCATTTAATATAGGGTCTATTAGCGAGACCCTCTTCATTATTTTTTTTTATAGTACTAGACCAATGTTGTTATTTGCATTTGAGAGACCTCCTAACTTCTTATAATATCATTTTATTCTTACATTATTCGAGTTTTCCATCCCTATTAGCTACTACCTATATATCCTTCTATTTTCTATTTTTTTAATAAATTTATTTTTGAATAAATTCGTTTTTTTTAATAAATTTGTCCTTTTTTTCCTAGCAGATTTACCATATCATAAACAGCTACAAATTACAATAATCAACTACAAATTACAACAATCAACTAAAAATTCCAATACGACTATAATTTATAACAAATACAACTATAAAAACACCTCAATCCAACTAAAATTTTTAGCAACCAACTACGAGCTACAATTTATAGTAATTCACTACAATTTATCAAAAATAACTACAAAATCATCAAAAACAAACTACAGTACACCAAATCAATTACAAGATTATGGAAACCTACTGTGAAAAATATCGAAATAAACTACAAATCACCGAAACCAATAAAAAAACAACTCTAATTTGCCCGGGCATTGGAACTAGATCGCCCATTTTCCGCCGCCGAAAATATTTAAATGAAATATACGTAAAATCAGCAAAAACCCCACGGCGTTTGAAGTACAACGATGAGCCGTCGGAGTGGCTCTCCAACCGCCACTCCCCAATTCGACAACCTCCTCCAATCACTAGTGCCATGCCCCGAAGGCCCGAACTCCGCCTCTAAAATCTCCTCGCCATGCCGCCGCTCTCCGGTTGTTGTGGAGGGCGATGAAATCGACGTGGGCGCGATAACTGGGGTTGAGGCTGGTGAGCGGAGTGGTGGCGGAGGAGGAATTCCCGGCGGCGTTTTGACCGGAGGAGAATGCTAGTTTCAGGAGATAAGGGACTGATGGAAGAGTTACTAGGGGGAGATAAGGTGAAGATGATGAATATTAGTACGTCTGGGTGTCGAAGAAGCAGCATGGTTTCGCCGGAAATTGCAGATTTTGGCGAAGGACGACCTCTGTCTCTTTATGTCACTCAACGAATCCGACTTCGACTCTTGGGATACGAACTCGTGACGGCAAATTGGAGTGATATGAGCGATAGTTGCGGTGAAAGAGAGCAATTGCAACGGTGGAAGAAAGTGGTGGCGGTGGTGGTGAAAGATAGAAGAGAGAAAGGAAAGAAAGAAGTATCGAGGGAGGAGAGAAAATGAAAAAGCGGCTGGACAATAAATATAATATTTCTAGGATTAAATAAATTAGAAACGGTAAAATTGAGTTATAATAAGCGGTTTTAAATATAAGTCCCTCTGACAAATATAAGTACTTGTGACAAAACTTATTAGAACTAAATGATTGTTTTATATCATTTATCAAAATTCATTCCAAAAATGCCCATCCACTCACAAATTCGAAAATTAAGTCAGATTATAAATATTCTATGATGTACTATAATATTATTTAACATTTTTAATTTGCATATAACATTTTTGTTATTTTATTTTTTTTACGTAGAATACGTCTATCCATTTTTTTCATTAAAAATCTATTTTTTTTCTACATAATATTGAAAATTATGATTTTCTTTTTTAATTTTTTTTCGGCTGTAGTCATTTGCAGACACCCATAGAAACTGTAGTAATTCGTAGTCACCCACAGACATCTTGAAACTCTTAATCCTCTTTTGAAATAAATTCTCCTTTGAACCATAGCCGCCAGCCGTCAGACACTCATAGACAGCCATAGATATCTATAGACATCAAAATCGAAAAAACTTAGATTCGCCCCCACCAAACCCTAAATCCGCCCCACCAACCCTAGATCCGCCCCAACACCGACGCCGCACAGCCCCTGCAAACCTCTGTCGCACAACCCTTGCAGTCGCCGCCTCCACCACAACCCCATCCACCGCCGCACAGCCCCTGCCATCGTGCCTCCACCACCGCTGCTGGTGGTTCCTCTCCTGCCACCGCCGGCGACGACCTTCGATTCGTGCTTCTACCGGAGAAAAAAAGAGATCTAGAGAGATGGGAGAAAGGGAGATAAAAAGAAAAAAAACGATAGAGAGAGAGAGATGGGGAGAACGTGAGAGAGAAGATGGGGAGGGAAGAGAGAACGTGAGAGAGGAGATGGAGAGGGAAAGAGAACGTGAGAGAGAAAAAAATAAAAAGAAGAAAAATAAATCTCAATTAAAAAAAAAACGTAAATATATAAGTTATATAACTTAGGGTATACGGGCAAACTATGAATAATAAAAAAAATTAGGGATGTGACTCATATATTATTTCAAACTGAAATTTTATTAAAAAATTTGATTTGAACTTATCATTTAATTCAAATTAAGTTCCTTGAAGGTGGAAGTATATCAAACTTATAATATCATATGAGGGTGGTATGTAATAATGCAATAATTAACTGCGTGAATGTGTTTTGAGGGTTTCTTCCTAATTAATCCTTTAATATAAACTAACATTGACCACTAGTAATCCGCAAGGGTGGCCTAGCGGTTGGAGCAAGAGAGCTTGGGTCAATTGACCCAAGTTCGAATCCCCTTGCCAACGGTCGCTAGGTCGAGCTTGTCACACATGGTTAGCCTAGTGTGGTTTACATCTCTCGTATGGTTTGCAAGCTATTATACGAGAGTGTAGGTTTACCCTGGCTACGGGTTCCTGCATTACCAAAAAAAAAAAAGAAAAAACCCTCGTCAGAGGAAAAGCATCTTTCTTCTCCGGAGCGATGCTAAAAGCACCGGCGTTACTTTCTTCTCGTTATTCCTTCACCACCTCATTTCTCTATTCACGCTCGTCGACGCGCCGCCACTTCCGCCGTCATTTTGAGCCGCCGCTCTCACCAGGTGTCGCTTTACCCAGAGCCTCTGTAACGAACTTAACTGCTTTTTGAATCCAGGACATACGACGCCGTTTCAACTAGAAGAAGCGTTATCGCTTCTTTCTTAAAACACGTTTTTTTCTTTTATTTTAGTTAAGTTAAACGCCGTCGTTTAGAGGATGACTGTGCATGCCTCACGCGTTTTGCATGCACCAGTGCACCTGTTATCTTCAGTGGTTGTTCCCCTTGTTCCTATAAAAGGGCGGACCACTTGTTGCTTTCTTTTCATGTTAATTCAGATTAATGTTAGATTAGGTAAGGTAGTGTAGCTGGACTTTGTCTTTTATCCGTTGTGTATTGCGAAGAACCCTACTTTTACCTATCAATATTACACTGCCGCCACCTAACCCTTTTATCTATTGAGAATTATTATTTGCATTTTGGAGTATCCATAACATTTGGTATCCAGAGCAAGGCTTTCCTGTTTATCCACGCCAACCATTGATGATGACAAGAAGCCATGTTCGTACGACCAGCGGAGAAAGCATCAGAACAGAAGCTGAGATGTTTGTGGAAGAACAACTAGCCTTCAATGACAAGATCCAGGGAGAGCTGTCTGTCATGCAAGCAGAGATCTCAAGGAACAGAGTGGAGAGCAATCAAAGGATGGAAGAACTGAACAGAATGATGGGAGAAATAATCAGATCCATAGGCGGTGATAGAGGGAAAACACCTACAGGCAACACCTCTGAGCAGCCCCACAGAAATCCAGAGATTTTATCCCCAAGAAGAGGCAATATGTATGAAGAACAAGGTAACCCTAATAATTTCTTGAGGAATCTGGAGAGAAGGGATATTAAGATAGACTTCCCAAGATTTGATGGCAATTTGCCCAGAACCTGGTTAAGAAGATGCCATAGGTATTTTGAATTAAATCCTATGTCTGAACAAGAGAAGGTCAAGCTGGCATCAGTGTATTTAGAAGGGAAGGCTGAGGATTGGTTTTCAGATTATATTGAGAGGATGGAGAGGGTAGAATGGGAGGTTTTCTCTAACATGATTCTGGAGAGGTTTATGGAAGAAGAGGGGGTGAGTCTGTTAGCTGACTTCAACAGACTACACCAAACATCCACTGTGGAGGACTATAGGTTGAAGTTTGAGCACCTCAAGGTGTTTGTATCAAGGAAATATCCTACTCTTCCTGAAGGATACTATGTTGAGTGCTTTGTGGAGGGGCTCAAGGGTGAAGTGAAGAATATGGTGAAGATGATGAGGCCAGTTGCTCTAGCCAGTGCCATTCAGCAAGCCAAGTTACAAGAAGGCTGTGTGGATCAATTGAAGGCAGAAATTAAGAGTTCAGTCAGAGCTAGTACCCAAATCATCAGAAATCACAGACTGGTTAATCAAGAACAACCACTGAGAATACAATATCCAGAGAAGAGACCTCCTGAAACCAGAAGGCTCACTAGACCAGAGATGGAAGAGAGGAGAAAAAGGGGCCTATGCTACAACTGTGAGGAGAAGTACACCCCAGGGCACAAGTGCAGGAAGCTGTTTAACATTGAATGCATCCCATTGACAGAAGAGGAGGTGGAGGAAGGAGAAGAGGAAGAAGATGCAATGGAAAAAGACAGGGAGGAAATTATGCAGATTTCCTTCAGTGCTATGGTGGGACAGATCTCTCATACCACACTCAAAGTTGTGGGCAAATATAAAGGGACATCTATAACCATCCTAATTGATACTGGGGCTTCCCACAGCTTCCTTGACCCACAAACTGCCCAAAGACTGAAGTGTGAGCAAGTTTGTACAAAGAGGATGAAGGTGACTGTAGCCGGGAAACAGCAAGTGTATTGTGATTCAAAATGCCCTCAGTTTCAGTGGGAGATGGGGAACTATCATTTTCTCATCAGTCTGACACTGTTGGAATTGGGGGGTTGTGATGTAGTGCTGGGGGTAGACTTTATGAAGAAATTTGGACCAGTAGTCTTTGACCATAACCAGAACTGTATTACCTTAAGACAAGGGGGAAAAGAGATTGTCCTCAAGGGAGCAGATGATGAACCACAGTTCTTTATGATCAATGAGGAAGAACTGCAAGGAATGTTGGACCATGGGAGTATCAATATGGGCTGTCTATTCATGTTAGCTGCCAAGGAATGCATAGCAGATGAATAAGTAATATCAAGGGGAGTGGAGGAAGTGATTGACCAGTTCAAGGATGTTTTTCAGAACCCTACTGAACTGCCACCCAATAGGAAGACTGAGCATGCTATTCCTCTGAAAGAAGGCACTCAACCATTTAAATCTCAACCATATAGATACCCCTATATGCAGAGAAAAGAGATTGAAACAATGATCAAAGAAATGCTTAGCACTGGGATCATACAAGACAGTTGCAGCCCTTTTGCTTCACCTGTCTTATTAGTGAAAAAGAAAGATGGTACTTGGAGGTTCTGTGTGGACTATAGAAGACTGAATGCAATGACCATTAAAGATGGATATCCAATACCACTAATTGATGATCTTCTAGATGAATTAAGGGGAGCAAAAATATTCTCTAAGGTGGATTTGAGGGCAGGTTATCATCAAATAAGGATGAAGAAAGAAGATATTGCCAAGACTGCATTTGTGACTTCATCTGGACACTATGAATTCAAAGTGATGCCATTTGGGCTGACCAATGCCCCAGCCACATTTCAAGCAATAATGAATGATGTGTTTAGAGAATATCTGAGGGAATTCATACTAGTATTCTTTGATGACATCCTCATCTACAACAAGAGTGAAGAGTTACACACTGCACATGTGAGGAAAGCAATGGAGTTGTTAAGAGCTCACAAGCTGTTTGCCAAGAGGTCCAAATGTAGCTTTGGGCAACCTAAAGTAGAGTATCTGGGACATGTAATCAGCCAAGAAGGGGTAGGGGTGGACCCTGGGAAGATCCAGAGTGTGTTAGAGTGGCCAACCCCCAAGACAGTCAAGGCATTGAGGGGATTCCTTGGACTAACTGGGTACTATAGGAAGTTTGTGAGGGGGTATGGTGAGATAGCAAAACCACTCACACAACAGTTAAAAAAAGGGAAGTTTGCATGGAATGAAGAGGCTCAGGTGGCTTTCGAAAGGTTGAAAGAGGCCATGACTACCACCCCAGTCTTGCAGTTACCAAATTTTCAAGAAAAATTTGTAGTGGAGACTGATGCCTCATACTATGGGATTGGGGCAGTATTGATGCAGCAATCACATCCCATAGCTTTCCTAAGCAAGGCTTTGGGGCCAAAAAGTCTAGGGCTCTCCATTTATGAAAAGGAGTTTTTAGCTATTCTCCTTGCAGTGCAGAAGTGGAAGGCATACTTAATTTGTGGGTCATTTGTGATTAGAACTGACCAGAAGAGCTTAAAGTACCTTCTAGAGCAGAAATTGTCTACTCCACTTCAGCATAAATATCTAGCAAAGTTGCTAGGGTTCAATTATACCATTGAGTATAAGAAAGGAACTGAAAACAGTGCAGCTGATGCACTCTCAAGAAGAGAAGAGGCAGCAGAACTAGCTCAAATCACCACTGTTCAACCTATGTGGATACAGGAAGTGATTCAAAGCTATGAGGGGGATGAGTAAGCTAAGGAGATTATCAGTAACTGCACACTGAGACCCCTAGATGTTGATTTCTATCAATATGTGGATGGAATCATCAAATATAAAGGGAGAGTTTATGTGGGAGGTGCTGGAGGGATCAGGCATAGACTGGTGGAGCACATGCATGGATCTCAATTGGGAGGGCATTCTGGAATCCAGAACACCTACCAGAGAATACAATCAATCTTCCTGTGGCCAGGACTGAGAAATCAAGTGAAAGATTGGGTGAGACAATGTGCTATCTGCCAACTCAGTAAGCATGAAAATGTCAAGGTGCCAGGGTTGTTGCAACCCTTGCCAGTAGCTGAACAAGCTTGGTCCAGCATCACCATGGATTTCATTGTCAGACTACCTAAATCTCAAGGAAAAGAGACTATATGGGTGGTGGTGGACAGATTCACCAAGTATGGGCACTTCATAGCACTCAACAGTCCTATCAGTGCATCACAGCTTGCACAAGTATTTGTGGAGGAAGTATATAGGCTGCATGGCTTACCTAGCTATATCATTTCAGATAGAGATACCCTCTTCACTAGCCAATTTTGGAAGGAACTGATGTCAGCTCTGGGGGTGCAACATCAACTCAGCACTGCCCACCACCCCCAGACAGATGGGCAGACAGAGCGGGTCAATCAGTGCCTTGAATCCTACCTACGGTGCATGTGTGGGCAGATGCCTAGGAAGTGGAGCATTTGGGTGCCATTGGCAGAATGGTGGTACAATACATCACATCATTCTGCCATACAAATGACTCCATTTGAAGCATTATATGGCTATAACCCTCCTCAGATAGGTTATGGACCACATTTGCTACAGAAAACTGGGGGTGTTGAAGCTTGGGTCAAGGATCATCAAGCCATTTCCCAGAGGTTGAAGGAAATGTTAGGACAGGCTCAAGCACGAATGAAGTACTATGCGGATCAAAACAGGAGTGAGCGGGAGTTTGAAGAAGGAGACTGGGTGTATTTAAAGCTTAAACCCTACAAACACTTGAGTCTGAGGAAGAGTGAAATATGGAAGTTGACCCCTAAATACTGTGGGCCTTTTAAGATCATTAAGAGAGTGGGAGCTGTGGCTTATGAATTGCAGTTGCCTCCAGAAGCTAAGGTGCATCCTGTCTTTCATGTTTCACAGTTAAAGAAGCACGTGGGGAAGGTAACCGAGGTGATTGCCACTCTTCCCCCACTAGATGAGCAGAATCAGATATTGCTAATTCCGGTGGCTGTATTGGAGCGTAGAATGGTGAAGCACAACAACACTGCCCAGGTGCAGTGGCTAGTGCAGTGGGCGCATCTGCCGAAGGAAGAGGCTACGTGGGAGGTTGCGACAGAAATGGGGACCAAATTCCCAGACTTCAAGCCATGAGACATGGCTTCTTGAAGGGAGGAGTAATGTAACGAACTTAACTGCTTTTTGAATCCAGGATATACGACGCCGTTTCAACTAGAAGAAGCGTTATCGCTTCTTTCTTAAAACACGTTTTTTTCTTTTATTTTAGTTAAGTTAAACGCCGTCGTTTAGAGGATGACTGTGCATGCCTCACGCGTTTTGCATGCACCAGTGCACCTGTTATCTTCAGTGGTTGTTCCCCTTGTTCCTATAAAAGGGCGGACCACTTGTTGCTTTCTTTTCATGTTAATTCAGATTAATGTTAGATTAGGTAAGGTAGTGTAGCTGGACTTTGTCTTTTATAAGTTGTGTATTGCGAAGAACCCTACTTTTACCTATCAATATTACACTGCCGCCACCTAACCCTTTTATCTATTGAGAATTATTATTTGCATTTTGGAGTATCCATAACAGCCTCCTCCTCCTTCACTCACAACTCAGATCAGGCAAGTTAATCTTCTCATCAAATCCAATCCTAGTAAATTATTTCGTAATTAGGTTAAGAGATTGGATAATTGTGATTTAATTTTGTTTTTAATTTACTTGAAAAAAAAAAAAAACTGAAGGCTGAAATGGAGTCGGAGAGTTATGCGTTTGGACCTTACAAAATCAACCCAAGTGAAGTGTTCTACTCTACTCAGCTTTCCTATGCTTTGGTCAATTTGCGCCCTCTTCTTCCTGGTTTGCATTTCCCACTTTTTCTATTTTTTATTTTTAATTCTTAATTTTTAATTTTTTTTTTTTATCATGATCACGGTATCATAATCTATTTGTTGGAGAATGGCAGCTCGATGTGATGTTTTTAACTATTTTGGAAGCCTAATTTTATGATTATCATGAAAATTTAGTTGCTTGATATATTTTACGGGATGTCGGTGAATGGTTTAGCGATCCAAGTTGCAAATGTTCGTAACGAAAAAAATCTATGTTCGTTACATCATGTGTGTTTTAAAATTAAGAATGATAAAATCGATTTATTCCGTGTAATCGTATACCTGCCAGAAACTGCGTGAACGGAAGGAACAGTTCGTCTCTTTTTCACGACTCTGCAAAATTTACTATGCCAACTATCATGCTTCATAAAATTAAGATAGGCTCTAGATGGTGATAAATTGACAGCATTTCATCTATGAATAATGCATTTTATCGACATTTATGAGTAAAACAATTATGACCGTCGCTAGGTTATTTTGTGTAATGACTTGAGCAGTATAGTTCTGCATTGTATATGGAACGATAATGCATATGGTTTCACCATAAATTCAACTGCACTAGAAACAAAGAAAAACACTTTTAAGACATAGTGATCGAACACTGCATCTCAGTTGCAGACATTGTAAAAATGGTCAGCTGAGAATTTTAAAGCATAATCACACTTTGTTCTGTTGCAAATAGAAGAGAGGTTGCACAAACAGAACGGACTTTGTTGCTGATTTTAATATTACGTGTACCTTCTTTATCGTCATTAGTGGTTTGCTAATATCATTCGGAAGATTCCTTATCAGGGAAAGAGACATAGTGTATCCAGTGGGTGTCGATGATTGCGGAAGTTCATTATGTTTCTGAAAACGATCCGTTTAGTTATAACGAGGAGGATGAAATAATCTGTCAAGAGCTTGATTTGACTGAGTCACAAGGTATATTCTAATTTATTCTTTACATTGTTATATCAAGCTCAAGAGTATCACAAACATGCAAACAATTTTATTTAATTTTTTTAAAATTATTTTTACAGATGCAAAACATGACATTTTTCACGTGGATGCTTTGGAATAAAGCCGATTTCAACTACGTAAAGGAAATTCTAGAACTTTCTGGATTCAGCAGGGACGAGATTCTAGGGAAATGGTACTCCGCGGAGCACCCCGTGGACCCTATGGTGTACGACGAAGTGGAAGGTTACGAAGAAGGCGGTGGAATGAACTTCGATCATCTTCTACTGTTCGATTTAATCAACGAGGTGTTTTTGGATATTTACGAGAGGTCATTTTGCTATTGGCCGAGGCCGTTGACTAGTAGGTCCTGCATGCACCGGATGGCGAAGGGGTATCGTGTGCTGGAGGAGGTTTGGGGGGAGATACGGCGGTTGATGAGTTTGAGGGCAGAGATCGATCAGGCGATAGATGATGCGGTGAGTCGGGATTTAATGGATGGGCGTGACGGTTGGATGAATCTGCAGTTGGATGGTGAGTGTGTGGGGCTTGAGTTGGAGGATTTGATATTTGATGATCTTATTGAAGAGGTTATTTGGAGTTGAGTTCTTAATTATAACTTTGTATTAATTAGTAATTACTACAAGGACAATTGTTTTAGTTGCAGCATGATATATACTAGGAAAGCGTTGGATTTTTGACAGTTTCTGATAAATCTTATCTATGTAGTGTACAGATTAAAGTATGTACTTAATCACAATTAGCCACTTGGTTAATCAGAGTGTGTAGTTGAAGTGGAGAGGCAAAAGCCTTGCAAGAATGAGTTGCAGTTGCAGATGTAGTACTTGCCTTTTAGTATGTAACAATGTTTTGTTCATCTAATATTTTGCCACATCTTAAAGAAGAAAGATAAAAATACCGGGGTTGAAAGCATAATTTCAGTTTGCAAACTAGAGGTCGAATAATAAACATGTATACAAATCTAGCTGATTATAATATTATGTTTCTTTATTATCATTAGTGTTTTTCTAATATTATTCCGTAATCTTCTGCTTGGTTTCGAAGATATTCATTTGCTTGAAACGTTTTGTGTATACTGTGGTGGATACTATGCATTGAGAAATCAGTGCCACATGGGGATTTCATCGAGTCCTTGAAGAAGCCTTCAAAATGGATATGACATGGTGAAGGCGAAGGTGAAGGCAACTGCACCCTGGCCTAAACTAGGTACTCGTTCCCCTTACTCAATATTGATATTCTATTCCACGCATAAAGATTTTGCTTCTGTCTATTCGAAATCTATCAGTACTCGTTCCGATATAAATTTAGCATTTGATTGTCTCAGATTTATCTTGTCAGGATTTAAGATTAGACTCGTCCTGCTAAACTTAATATAAAATTAAATTAAAAGTACTGACTCTAGTACTCTAGTGAATTCAGAAGCTTTTCTGCTATCTATTAATCGAGCCTGATTTCGATAGAGCATTATTTGACCAGCCTCTTTGTCATGTTCATTGTTTTTTAGCTTTCTAATCCAGCCTGCACAGGTTGCCTGGTCTTATACTCGAATTTTGTACACTTTCACTGTAATCAGTTTCAAGAGCGGGGTAAATAGAAAATATTTGAAGCTCAGAACTATCGTCACAAAACTGAGGAAAACATTCATATTTTGCAGATTTTATAGAAGAATTACTCATTAGGGTGAATGTCTAGCCATCTATCATTACGAATGAATAAAGATAATATCCCTTTTAATTAAATATTTGACCTATATAAGAAATTATTTAAATCATTGAATAGGATTTAGTGAAGTTTGCAATAGCATTAAGATAAAATCTTTATTTCCTTATGATTTTCAATGACATAACAAGGTAAGTAATTACTGAATTTTATCTACAGATTTTGCATATTAATTTTTCTAATATAAAATCATAAGGTAGATGATAAATTTAATTTGGTCAAATCTATATAAAATCCTTCACATTACAGGCAAGAAAAATGAGCCCAAAATCCGAACGTCAAGGCCCTTTTCAAACTTCAAGCCAGGTGTCTGCTCATTTTTGAATTTTTTTGAACTGGTTATTGCTGTAACCATTTAGGAAAATTCTCCATATATGTCATCATATTACAATGCATTAAATATGATCTCATCTTATTTTTAATTTCTTCCACATTCTTATCTGTCAAAATTCCATCCCATTAAATCAAAGCAGATTTTTTTTCTTTCGTCTTTGTTGTCTAGATTTTCTTTGCTACTTTCTTTTTGCCATTTTTTCAGTGACTTTTGACTAGGTTAAGAGAGCAAAGTTATAACCTAAAAGCAATCACTTCTTATTTTATTTTATCTTTCTAGAGGAGCAGTAGCCGAATCTTACCATCGCAGACTTGTCCTGGAAAGTTTTGGTAATTATTTAGGCCATAAAATCATTCCTGATAAATTTGATTTTTTTTTTTTATTTCTGATTCTTGTTTATTTTTATTTTTTGAATGTATTTCTGAAATGTTTTGTCTTTGTTTATCTTGGAAGGGTTTATGATGTGGTGATGGAATATTTGTTTCATGCATTTTTTTTGGTATACGAACAAATCTTTATGTCTAAATACTTCCACCATTTTTCAATTCACCTTTGGAGGTTTTTATGTACATTAAAACACGACCTCATCTTATTTCAAATCTTTTCTACATTCTTATCTGTCAATCCCCTCCATTAAATGAAAGGAGATTTTTATTATATAATCTTGGTTGTCTAGATTTTTCTTCTGACTTCCTTTTTGCCATTTATTCAGTGACTAGGTTCAGAGAGCAGTGGCCAGAATCTTCCCATCGCAGACCTGTCCTTCAAAGTTTTGGTAATTATTTAGGCCTTCAAATCTGTTTCTGATAATTTTGATTTTTTTGGGTCAGATTCTCATTCATTTTCAATTGAAAACCTTACCTTAAAATTGAGTCTATTTTTTCTTTCTTTTTGTTCCCTTGATTTTATATATATTAGACATGAAATCTTTGTTTGTTTGTTTTTTTTTATTTTTTATTTTTTTTTATTTTTATTTTGGAATGGATTTGTTAAAAGTTTGTATCTTTGTTTATGTGTAAAGGGTTTATGATGTTGTGACGGAGTGGTTGCTCCATGTATTTATTTGGTAAAACCAAAGATCTGAACTAGAGTTTTTTTTATTTGTATATATATGCATGAAGGTTTATGATGTTGTAAAGGATTTGAGAACACTGGATGTTTCTGACAGTAGCGAAAACTTTAATTTCTTTTCTTTTTATCATTTTCATACACATTAGATTCATACAGGTTGCTGGTTATTAGTTTAAGCCTTAAGGTTAACACATTAGATTAAACAGTGAATATCACCAGATGTTTGATATTGCTGCAAAATTTGATACGGCACATTAGCTCTGATTTCACGTGTGTGTACCGTATTAAACGGGGGTTTTATATTTAATAATTCACGATGATTTTGGATTAATCAGAACGGATCTTTCTGTAACAAGCTGGTGGCTTCAATTAAAGCCTTAATACTTTTGATAAGAATAGGATGGTTCACACTTATATCATTCTGCATCATTTCTTCTTAGAAATATATATATATATATATATATATATATATATATATATATATATATATATATATATATCAATGCTTTTTCTTGTATCATTTATTTGGTTGTATACGTTTACAGCTTGTATCCATGGCTGGTTCAAAGAGAGGTAAACAACCCAAGGGCAAAGGAAAACATAAATCACATAGTTCTGATACAATCGACAAGAAGCCTGAATCAAGTATAAGTAATGCAGTGAGCACAAGTACATCCGGATATGACGAAAAAGAACTAGAGGGATTTCTTTATATCAAGCTTGAAACATTATATGCTAAAGCCAGAGGTTCGTTAGTCTGGCAGAAATAGAAAAGGCAATCTTGAGTGCTGGGTTTATCCATGGCGAAATGGATCCTCTCAGTAACATTGTGACAAACTCGATTGCTTTCATCGAAAAAAGGATTGAGTTGAAAAGACAAGCTTTCAAAGACATGGATGAATTATATAAATCAATGTTCGAAGCTCTGGTCGATTCTGTCGTACAGACTCGCCCAGACATACGAAGGTATGATGCCATGTGGCATCTTTTAGTAACGAAGTGGGATCCTGTTCCACCTACCACCGAGATTTCTGATAGCATTCCGGCTCATGGGTCTTATGAAAAGGTGGGAATTATGAAAAGAATCAATTATACGCCTTTGCAAGAATCTTATTTGGCATTTAATGTCCTTAGCCTGAGAGATGATATGCAGAGGAAAGCTGGGGATCCAGTTATTACGCAAGATGCTATTACAAGTGATATTGTGTGTGCTGACTTTCTCGCACCCACAACAGGCTGTTCCTATGAGACATATCTCGACCAATGTCTGGACAGCAATTCCGATGAACCGAAAAATGCTCTGATAGTAGATCTGGTAAAAAGTACCAGAGACTTGGAAGAAAAAACGAAGGAGCAGAAAGAATGGGCTCAGAGGAAAGTGGTAGATACAGCGAGAAGGTTAAGTAAAAATTTCATGGAACTGAATCTTTTGAGGGAGGCGTGTTCGGAAAAGGATAAGATGAAAGATGAAAAACTGCATGCTGAAAAAGAACACATGTTGAAGCTCACAGCGATGGAACAGTATTTCCGCAAAGTGAATTTTGAAGCAAACTTCGTCACTGATACTGTAAGAAGGCTGGAGACCCAAAATGCCCAGATAAGAGCGGACGCTGAAGCTGTTAAGTTGAATGGATCCGAAACCGAGAGGGAATTGAAAGAAAGCCTTAAGCGGGAAAAGAAATGGAAGAAAAAGCTTTCGGATGCTGGAAAGCAGATTAGCAATTTCCGATCGCAGCGCAACGAAGAAAAGCAGAAGGGGATGCAGATGAAACTGGAGTTGCTTCAAGCTAACGAAGAAGCCAAGGAAGCTGAGGTAAATTATTCATTCCATTGAATTATATCTACTAATTATCTATGTAAATTCTGATTGTCTGGTAATTCTTTTACATCTCTGAATTAACGTAGTGATAAACATTTTTATCTTGCTCTCTTTTGCGTTTCCATTCCTTCCCTAGTTTTGCATAATTTTTCTGACAAAAAGATGATACACCTTGATGCTATATAATATTTGTTTTTGTTCCTTTTTGACGTCATTATAACCGTATGGATAAAAAAATTGATTTGAGAATATGTTAAAATTCAAATTCCATTTGTCATAAGCCTTTGCATGACAATTGTTTTCAAATTAGCCTTTGTGTAGTGGTGGGTAGATATTTTAAAAGTTCAGATCATAAGATTTGATCAAATTCTTTTTGGTTATTCATATTAAAGCGTATTATCGCTGGACGAAACACATATTTGTGTTAAGAATCACCCAGTGAGTGAATTATGTTCGAACACTGAAAACATAATCCTTTTCAATCGGCTTGGTTGTGATAATATATATATATATATATATATATATATATATATATATATATATATATATATATATATATATATATGAAGATTACCCTCAACAAGAAAAATGTAATTCCATTTGATTTATCATCAATAAAAGCTTTGTCGTAGTCAAGTAAAGGAGTACGAACGTTACTTATGGATTCACATTTAACATATTCGGGAAATTTTGCTAATTAATCATTTGTAAAACATCTTTATTGGAAATTTATAATAATTTTATTATGAAAAAAGGAGGACTTGTCCCGTAGAGAGTAACTAAAAAGTAATTGAACTCCTTAACTAGAAAGACTTGATGCTGATATGTTTTATGCACTATTGGTCTTATCTTTATTTTAAATAGTTTTTCAAAACTTTTAAGCAGAGCAGGAGCATATAAAGTATGAAATTTTCGTGTGTTCGTACAAACTTGGCATGTATTAGACACTCAAATCTAAATTAGATTATTCTTGGCATATTTCTACACAATTCTTAAACTCGATAAAAAAAATCCAGCGCAGTTAGGAAACAACGTCGTACTAAGAGAAAAAGTACTGTTTATATGGTGCCTATTAGATTTTTTTTTTGTGCCAGTGCAGATACGAAACGACGTCGTTTTAAGAGTGAGTTCTACTGTTTATATTGTTTTGTCCTCTTTTCTTCGTTGGTATTATATATAGATATGACATTATTGCTCAATGAATGCATACTATGTTTGGGGGAAGTCGGAAATTCTTTTTTGATTTCTTCTTAATAATTAAACTTGTACTGAAAAGGTGTGCGTGTATGATTAATCTGATTCTGTAGAGAGTATATATATTACATGCAAGTGAAAATGCAGACAAACACCGGCTTCTTGATTTAAGTGGGCCCCACAGTTGCTGCTTCTTAGATATGTTTCTTGCCAGCACACTTAGGAAACAACTTCGTATTAATAGAAAGAGAACTCCTTATATCGTGCCTTTTTAGAATTTTTTTTTCTGCCAGTGCAGTTCCAAAACGACGTCGTATTAATAGAAAAAGTACTGCTTATATCGTGCCTTTAGAATTTTTTTTTCTGCCAGTGCAGTTCCAAAACGACGTCGTATTAAAAGAAACGACGTCGTATTAAAATAGAGTACTACTGCTTATATTGTTATGTCCTCCTTCCTTTGCTGGTGTTAGATGTAGATACGACATTAATGTTCAACACATTAAAGTGAACTTGTGTTGAATTTTTTTGCATGTATGATAGAATTGATTATGTAGTTTTTGTACGATGGTGGGGCTATTTATATATACAAAATCATATTTAGAGTAAGAGTAGTGCTTATCTTGTGCTTCTTTGGTATCATTTTTTTTCTCTTTGCGAGAGCGGTTACAAAAACAGTGTCGTATTACGAGAGAGTAATATATGACATTAATTCTCCATGGTTGGATTGAATTGATTAGGTCATTAGTACTATGATGGAACTATTTACATAAATGACATTGTATTTACTAGTTAGAATAGGAGTAGTGCTTATATTGCGCAGTTATGAAAACAGTGTCGTGCTAAGAGAGAGTAAATATATAAATACGAAAAATGATCCATGAATTCATAGTATCTTGGGGATAAGTCTGAAATTCGTTTTTGATTTCTACTTGCAGGTGAAACGGAGGCAAGAAATTAAGGCGATAGAGGATATGGTTGCCCTCGTTGCCGAAGAAGCTAGAACGTTCGAGATTGGAAAAGACAATGCAAGAACGGAGTTGTTACGACTGCAACAAAAAGTGGAGATAGACAGTCAGATAGACATTGACAATTGTCGAAGACTTGAAGACGAGCTGTCGCGTCTCCGCTTATGTCAGCAAATGGCAGAAGTACAACTGACGGAGAATGCAAGTTCTTCAGAATCGAGCGGTCCAATGGAATATTCCTCTGCAAGAAGAATTGGGCGCAGGTTTTGCATGATGTGCTTGCAGAATGATGTGTCGGTGGTTTTATTACCGTGCGCACATCAAGTACTCTGTTTTCCTTGCTTCGAAAGGAACTGCAGTGCAGTGGGAGCGAGCTGCCCGTATTGCAATGTTCCGATCGAACAGAGCATTAGACCGTTTGGTCCTAGCTGAAGGCGAACTTGTGTAGAATAATTCATGCTAACTTTTAGATTTTATTTTTTTGGTTGGGTTGAAAACTGTTAAAGTTTTTACTTCAACTCTGAATTTTGAGCTATGTATTGAATATTGATTGTGTTGATTAATCTGATTATCATGGATTTGTAAAATGAAAGCTTGATTATTGGTTCTTGGGAAAGAGTGCAGTGTATTGTGCTTTCTTTTGGATTTTTTAGTGTGCGCAGTGTGTCTGTGTGTTTTATATGGCGTGTGCATGTATGTGCTTTCGTGTGTGGAATTCGAGTGCACGTGTTATGTTTTCTATGTGCAATTTGTGCGCATGGGTTTTTGTGTGTGCAGTATGTGTGCGTGTTTTCTTGTGTATAGTGCCACTGTCTGTTTTTTTTAGGTGTTTGTTCTGTGTGTATGTTTCTTGTGTGTATTGTGTTTATCAAGATAGTATAAGCTAAATTTTGTATGTAATTAACTAGAATGATACTATAGAAATAAAAATATTAGATTGAGAAATTGAGAATTTACTTGAAATAAAAATTGTGTGTTTCTCTATAGTCTATCTACTATACTTGATTATAATCTAGTATAGGGGATTCTAATCTAGATTTTCCTTAAAAAACTTATTCTTGGTTTGCATAATCAACAATCATAATTGAAAAATGAAATCATGAGGAAATGGAGAGATGCCTACTTTATATTAATTGAAAATCTTTTAGCCTCGATTTGGATTGAATGATTTAAATAATTTCAGATAGTAATTGGGATGACTCCCCAACTATGTGGTACGGACACAGAAACGGCGATACGGCAAAATGGGATAATGCACACGGGAAACGGCATGTCCCAAAAATATGAATACATAAATTTAGGGGAAACGTGTAAATATTAAAAGTATAGGGGTATATTTATAAATATGCTATTGAGATTTTATTATTTATATATCAGTTCTTTTTATACATTTCCATACAAATATATATTATCCAGTTATTTAATTTGCAATTGATCATTAAACCATGTAATTACCTAGAGAAGCAAAAAAATATTTGAAAATTTGCTATTCAATGTTCAAACTTTTCAAAAATTGCAAAATGACCTATAAAATATCCAATAAGTATCGGGTGTCGCACACAAAACGTGTCAAAAATACGGATACATAGAATCTGGTTGTTTATTTTTTAGAAGGAACATAATTAATTTTAGGCAGCGACTATTTGCAATCACAAATTTACTTATGGCAAGACCAAATTAATTTTTTTTTTATCAAATTAAGTATAAAAATACTATAATAACCTTAATAAAATACAAACAAAATAAAAACCATTTTAACAATTTACTTTTGCAAGACCAATTTAAAAAAGAAAAATTTAATAAATAAAGAAAGAAAAAGCAAATTGAAAAACGAGAAGGAGGGAAGAAGGGAAGAAAACAAAAAAAAATCAGTTGCAGCACTCGCCGCCACCTTCGCCGTCGCCCCTTCGTCGTCGCCCCGTCGCCGTCGCCGTCTGCAAGAAAAATCGGAAATTTGGTTACACAATTGTAACAGTGAAAAATCGACACACCAGTGTCGAAATATGCACCGAATATCGACACCAGAGTGTCGAAAAATTCAATAAAAATCGACAGTAAAAGAGTGTCGATTTATGTTGAAATTTTCGATACTAGAGTGTCGACATTCGGAGTATATTTCGACCTGTACACGTCGAATTTTTTGTACGTGAAATAAGGTGCGAAAAACGATCACAAAGTACAACATTCCTTACCTCTTTGTGTTCTTCGACCTTAGAATCCTCCATATTTTTGTCTTGTGTATCTATAATGTCCTTCTTTTCAAGTTTTAGTAAAGATTTGAGGGTCTTGTGTGATGAGGGTTTTGGAGAATATGGAAGATTTTTTTGTGGAAAAAAATGTGTGAAATGAGTGTGAAGAAGAAGATGTTGGAGTTTTGTTGGGGGAATGAGTTCCCTCTCGTTTTTTCCTTTTTTTTTTTTTTTTGTTATTTTTGGTCTTGCAATAGCAATTAACCTAATTTGAATTAATAATATCTAAATTAATACTGAGGTTATATTTGTAATTTCCAGTCTTGATCTTAGTAAGTTTATTTATATTTTGGTCTTGCATGGAGTAAGGTCTTGCACTTAGTAATTTTCGTCTTGCATATATTGGTTGCCTTAATTTTATTATAAGTCATCTCAGAGATCATGATATTTTTTATGTTTACAGGGATATCATAGTGTTCATAGGATCGATCTTTTGATAGCGCTACTATACATGTGCCGCTTTATTTGTTTTTCTAAAAATATTTTTAAATTGAAAATGCTCAAACCATTCTCCTACCATGGTTGTTAAAATCATATGATTTACGTTTCATGACATACAATTCGTTTCGATTCGTGCACTTGTCGATTCAAACTGTTGAATAAATCCCGAATTCTAAAATTATATCATACAATTTATTATATTTTTAGGATAAAATAAAAAAAAATAAGAAAATAGATTTGATTTTGACTAAAAACAATTAAATATGATTACTAGTCATTAAGAATTTGTTTTCCCTTTTACTATGTTTTTATTTCCAAATATAGATAAAAGAATAAAAATAAACAATTAATGTATAATTTTTTTTATTGAATTGTTCAACTCTAATCTTATATATAAAAGAAAAAAAAGGCTAGGCTAACCTAAGAAACCTTAATGGCATATTTGTAAAAATAAATTAATTTATATGTGTATATAATTATTTTTATCTCCTATTTTGCACCCTTTTTTTTCTTCTAATTACTTTAACACCAAATTTCGGCTAGCACAATCATAATTCACTATATCTATATTTTTTAATTATTATTATTTTATCTCCTATTATATTTGACAGCCTATTTTTCTAAAAAAAATTTGCTTCTTTTATTTAATGATCAATTTCATATTATGACAACTAAGTTTTTATTGTTTTTTTTAAGGGATTATTAGGGAAAACCCCCTCATTTGAAAGTTATCTTTGGATAAATGCATTTTTTTTTCTCCTATTTAACATAAGGCCAAATTTAATATTGAATTTTAATAATACAATTATACCCCTTACTTTGCCAAAACCTATATCACACGTTTTCTCCGCCTCTCCCTCCTTTGTTTTTTCTCTTCTCTTTGTCGTTTCAATTTCTCTCTATCTCCATTACCGAATCGAGTGACCTCGAAAAATACTACTGCAACTGCCGCCACCGCGGACGCGTCAGATCCAAACGAGAAATTGCCGCCTTGGACGACTCTGACCAAACTTATAGTGCAGATGCTTCTCTAATGGCGTCATGGTACATATTCCCATATAAAAAATATTGCCATCAATATTCCGTTTGGTTCAATGGAGACGTGACGACGTCGTATCTGCATATTCCCATCTCTAATTTTTTTTTTTTCTGGACATGTAAGAAAGAGATTTTTTAATTGTGAAATGCAATCAGGGATGAAAAGGTTCAATTCTTCTTTTTTTCATATGGAAAAACATACATACTCACTTTGCATATGGTGTTTTTCGTTTGTTTCTACGGTGAAAAAGTTTGAAGTAAATAAGTTATGTCATTTTATTTCGAACAATATGAATTTATTTTGTGGTGGTTGTAGGATTATTCGAATCTCTTAGTGAGTTTTGTAGTGAATAATTAAGTAAATTTGTGTAGTGGGTTTTGTGAATTTACTAGTGCATTATGCTAATTTGTAGTGGATTTAATTAATTAAAGCTTTAGAAAATTTAATGATATTGCCGATCAATCATCTTTAACAATTAATTAAGATACAGTGCGAATACACATACATCAACATCTGTAACAATGTCCGATCTTCATATATATCATATTCTTTGTAACATAATCATCCATAAAATTGAAAACTCAGACTACTTATCTGTAATTAATCAATATTACACATTGCTCATTCATTAATCTCTCAATATTATATTTATAAATATATTGCTAGCTTGAAAAGCGGTTTTGTAATTATACAGAGTTATTTTCATGTTTATATTGATGTTTATACATAATTGTTTTCATGTTTATATAGTTGTTTATACAGAGTGGTTTTCATGTTTATATAGTTGTTTATACAGACTGGTTATCATGTTTATATAACTGTTTATATAGACCAATTTTCATGTATATATATATTGTTGTTTATACATAGTGGTTTTCATGTTTATATAGCTGTTTATACATAGTGGTTTTCATATTTATATAGCTGTTTATACATAGTCGTTTTAATGTTTATATAGCTATTCATACATAGTGGTTTTCATGTTTATATAGCTGTTCATACATAGTGATTTTCATGTTTATATAGTTGTTTATACATAGTGGTTTTCATGTTTAAAAAGAATAAATCACATACAAGACATGAATCCAAAACATGTTGCTGAAACCCACTATTTTCAAGCAAATAATTCACTTTAAAAACAACTATTCTAAGTAATGTATGTATATTGAAAAGAACACACTACATGAATCCAAAATTACTGTTGCCGAAACCCACTTTCTTCTGAGCAAATAATTCACTTTAAAAACAACAATTTTATGTAAATTAGTGGATTTTTGTTGATAGCAGAGTGGAATTGATCTAACACAAACATTGAAGTTCCTTGATTTTCCGTATTGGAAGTGTAATACAATCTTTAACTACAATAATTTTCAATATCAAATAGCATAATCAACTACGATTACACTAATCGACTAATTAAATTTAAACAGCCCTATAACAGAAAAATAAAGAGCTCCGAAAAATCAACAAAAAAAGATTGCAGTGGAATTTGTGCCTGCATCATATTGGCTTTCCGTTCCCCTAAAAAAATTGCAACAGTCAGAATTAAAATTTTGCATTTTTTTTTTTTTTTGAATCTGAAATTATCGTAAAAAAAAGGAACACATACTTCTTGTCGGCGCCTTCTTCATGGTCGGTTGTATCGAAAATTGCAGAGATAATAATGGTATTTAACGGGCTTTTTGGAGAAATTGTAGGAGTTGTTTCGACAACGTGGTAATAGGTGGTGATTTTTCAAGTTTTGGCTCATTAATAAATACCACGTGCCACTATAGGGGTAATATAGGGTTATTGAATTATTTGGATTTATCTCAAATATGTGATTTAAATTTGGGGTTATCCCTCTGCCGGAATACAATGAGGGGGTTTTGTGAAATAGTCCCTTTTTTAAATGAGAATGTATTATTATATTTGAATAAATGTTTACGTTGTTATCGATATCACTAATAAAATTTATTATAATTGTTATTATTATGTATTAAACTAATCATTATTTTCATTTGAAAGGCTATACCGTGCATCGCACGGGAGAAAATGCCAGTTATATTTTTAAAGTAAGAGATGAATTCAAATAAATACCATTTAATATAAAATAGGGTAAATTACACCCACACCCCTGAGATATGTTAAAATAACTTTAAGGTCCCTGTGGTATCGATAACTACACTCACTCCCTAAAACATAGTTAAAAGCTCTAATGGGATAATGCGTTGGATACGTTATTCCGATAGAGTTTTAACGGACTATTAGTTTCCGGACGTGGTGGAGACCTAAAAGAGCTATGCGTGATTTAAGAAATGTTGGAGGAGACATGTCACCTCATAACTCTATGTTATCTCCACCACTAGCTAAAAATAATAGTCCGTTAGAGCTCTATCGGAATAACGTATCCAATGAATTATCCCATTAGGGCTCTTTTGGTTTGCATTATTAGGCATGATGGGATATATTGTACCCCATAGTACAATAGTTGATTCACATGTTTTGCCATCCTTGACATCCGGCCCCACTGATTTAATCACCCATTTGATTTATTAGTTATCAAGCCAGTTTTGGCTTGACAGTTTATCCCTTCAATTATCCCACCATTTCACCCATGTAATTTTCGAAAATACCCTTACATCATACAAAAATTACAAATATATCTTATATATAAAATAAACAAAAGTTAGGGCAACCTAAGAAACCCTAATGGCATATTTGTAAAAATAAATTAATTTATATTTATATGTAATTTTTTTTATCTCCTATCTTGCAGTCATCTTTTTCTAATTACTTTAACACTAAATCTCGGCTAGCACAATCATAATCAACTATATGTCTTTTTAATTTATTATTGTTATTATTTTATCTCCTATTTTCCAGTCTATTTTCTCTAAAAAAAATTCTTCATTTATTCAATGATCAATTTCATATTATGACAATTAAGTTTTTATAGTTTTTTTTTTGAATGAGTTTGTATTATTAAATTAGTATAAATGTTGTTGCCGATATCACTAATAAATTTTATTATAATTGTTAGTATCATGTATTAAACTAATCATCATTTTCATTTAAAATGATACTCTTGCGATAAATGCTAGTTACATATAAGCACTTAACTCACCATTAAATTGTATTGTGATAGCTATTTGATTATTATACAAATTATCACATCAAACTCACGATTAATTACACAAAAATGCATAAACGCATCTAAACGGAAAAAAAATACTCAGATTAGTTCAACAAATTCCGCAAACACAAATTTGTGCAAATATACCCTTATGTATATCATATTGAATTACTACAAAAATATCGAAGAAATGACTACACAAGTATCAAAGAAATGAAGTTCATTGAAAAATAATGTTAGGGCATGACCAAATTAATTATACATAATGATCAAATTAACATGTACACGTGTGATAACGAGTTTGAAATACCACAAATATTAAATATGGAGATACAGTGCAGTTTAAAGTCCAAACAATAAGGCTTCACTTGTATATATTGGTAGACATGGATTCGTACCCATTTTGCGCAAGTCAAGAACCGACGATCTGGGTTGGCAGGGGTCCAAGAAGTTTGTAAGGCGAATTGTAAACCGAAATTACAAGATTGTTGTTGCTGGCCATTTGAATAGAATCCACCATACCCGTTGCTGCTCGAACACCTATATACGCGAAGTATTACTACCGACGCTCATACGGGAAAACAATTGTAAAGCGAAATACAATAGTTGGGATTTTTTCTTCAATTATCGAAGGAAAATTTAAGGGTTTAGGAGTGAAAGGGACTGAAAAATGCAAGAGGCGTATGACTGGTAAATATTGTATTTCAGGGGCATTACAGTCATTTTGCAAATAATCCCACATTCAACTGGTTTATCAGCTATACAAAACACGGTATTGTTCATCATTGGATTATTAGTTTCAGCCTAATACAACCAATCAAAAGACATACCCAACATTGTGAATCAGCAGTTTAATCTCAATACTATATATCCCATCCATACCTATCTATCCAATCCACCCAACCAAAGGGCCCTTAGAGTTCCAACTATGTTTAAGGGAGTGAGTGTAATTATCAATAACACATGAACCTTAAAGTTATTTAAGCATACCTCAGGGGTGTGAGTGTAATTTACCCTATAAAATAACATTGGCCACCAGTGTATTTGATGAAAAATGAAACTCTTCACTGTAGCATATATTCGTCGTAAAACACGACTTTAGTTCAAACTTCAAAAATATACACCCAACTAACGACTTTAGTTCAAACCCTCGTCAGAGAGAAAAGCATCTTTCTTCTCCGGAGCGCTCCGCACTGATGCTAAAATTACCGGCGTTACTTTCTTCTCGTTATTCCTTCACCACCTCATTTCTCTATTCACGCACGTCGACGCGCCGCCACTTCCGCCGTCGTTTCAAGCCGCCGCTCTCACCAGGTGTCGCTTTACCCAGAGCCTCCTCATTCTTCACTCACAACTCAGATCAGGCAAGTTATTCTTCTCATCAAATCCAACTCTAGTAAATTATCTCGTAATTGGGTTAAGAGCTTGGATAATTGTGATTTTTTTTTTCAATTACTTGAAAATAAATTGAAGGCTGAAATGGAGTCGGAGAGTTATGCGTTTGGACCTTACAAAATTAACCCCAGTGAAGTGTTCTACTCTACTCAACTTTCCTATGCTTTGGTCAATTTGCGCCCTCTTCTTCCTGGTATGCATTTCCCACTTTTTCTATTTTTTTTTTTTTTTTTTTTTTTTTATTTATCATGATCACGTTATCGTAATCTATTTGTTGGAGAATACCAGCTCGATGTGATGTTTTTAACTATTTTGGAAGCCGAATTTTATGATTATTATTAAACTTAGTTGCTTGATATATTTTACGGGGTTTCGGCGAATGGTTTAGCGATCCATGTTGCAAATGTCATGACAAAAAAATCTATCCGATTTAGTCTCGTGTAATAGTATACCTGCCAGAAACTGCGTGAACTGAAGGAAGAAGAGTTCGTCTCTTTTTTCACGACTCTGCAAAATTTACTATGCCAACTATCATGCTTGATAAAATTTAGATGGCTCTAGATGGTGATAAATTGACAGCATTTCATTTATGAATAACGCATTTTATCGACATTTATGAGTAAAACGATTATGATCGTCCACTTGGTTATTTTGTGTAATGTCTTGAGCAATATAATTCTGCATTGTATATCTGAGATGTCAGCTGAGCCTGTAACTTGTGATATAATGTACAAGGGTTTGCCTCATTTACATTTGTAATCCTTGCTGTTTTACTGATCGACTGATCGTAGTTTCTGTTTGCTTTTCATTACAGGTCATATCCTTTCATCTCGCAATATTTAAACAGCTTATAGTGTCACAATGTAACATTATAGATGAAATTGATATTTGGTTGATTGGGATTTTCCTCATTCACATTTCTTTACTTGATTGACTTAACACTACACACATGTGCTTGTCTGTCCAAGACGTGGTGTTAAGCGTTTCATTGATCTTACAACGGATGAGACTAGTGACCTATGGCTTACGGCTCAGAAAATCGGGCGCCAGCTGGAGACCTATCATAAAGCATCTTCACTCACATTTGCAATCCAAGTAAGAAGAAGAATGGCATATGAAGCTATCATTACCTTTTTATCTTGTTCTTTCTCTGCCGTCATAAGAGTAAATTTGAGAATGAATGTTGCTCGTTTTTCAATTTATGTGGACAAATACAATTTTAGATGCCTCTTTTTGTCCGGAGATACTCCTTTTTTGGAAGATTAAACACTGCTCATCCCGTAAACGCTTAGAACAGAAGCAACTGGCTGTTTTCTTTGCTTTTGTCAAATTTTGTGAATATGGTCTTCAAGAAATCTTGCTTGTCTTTTGCAACTATTAATGTCAGCCATTTATACAGAGAAATAACTAGCGAAATCGTAAGTTTGAATCTTATGACATAGAAATTACTGGAGATCATGATTTTGTAGAGTCTGATTGCACGAACATATCACATAGAACTTTGTTGATAACAAAGTTTCCGTTTTACTTCCAAAAGTTGCTCTCTTCTTGAATTGTCATTGCATCTGCTGTATCTGCACGATCTAGCTGTAAGAAATCTGATGACGTTTATGCTATTATACTTGAGAAACTTGATCAACTATTTGTTCATATAGTTCCAATGCATCATCCTGTAAGGATTCTATGACTACTATTGAAATGTGTTCCCTTAGAGTAAAGCTACTTGGGTGCATGTGTTATAAGAGGTGGAAATGTTTTCGACTTCTCTTCGAAAATGAGTTGTACTCAGGATTTGTCCCTTTTCTTCCATCTTAGCTAATCAAACTCCACCTTATGTTCTAGCTTTGTGGAATTTTATTTTATTTTCTTTTCTTTAATCCTCGCATGAAATGGACAATTATCATCATGCTCAGAGAAAAAAGAAAGATAGAAAGCATTTTTGATAGAACTAGGGAAAGGAAGAATCGTAGTTGGATTATGCATTTGTTGAGTTGTTAGCAGGGTGTTTGGTTATGAATTCATGTTTGAGTTGAACAATAACAGCATTTCTTCCTCTAGTTGTTGAAGCTGTTAATTAACTATATTTTGTTTCTCAAGTCATAATGTCTGGAAATCTCGTTTTTTTTTCTCGCTTTAGGATGGTCCGCAGGCTGGACAGACTGTTCCTCATGTTCATATTCACATACTCCCACGCAAAGGTGGTGATTTTGAGAAAAATGACGAGATTTATGATGCTGTAAGACAATGTTGCTTATCGATTATTCTCGAATTTTGTTTTTCCCTTTGCTGCTAATATTTTGCACAGATTGATGTGAAGGAGAAGGAATTGCAGCAGAAGCTTGACTTGGACAAAGAGAGAAACGACAGAAGCGGAGAAGAGATGGCTGAAGAGGCAGACCAATACAGAAAGCTTTTCGTGTAGAAAACTACTACTGGATTTGTGGTACTACATTTTGCTTTTTCAATTGCTAAATCCTGTTGCTGAACAAGAGCCATTTTTATGGATCAATGGCATAATTCTTCGTTTTTTCGTATGCAAAATAGAATTTATGTACTCTTTGACATTAGATTCGGAGAACCATGATGGAAGCTCACAATATTATGTTCGGATATTAGATGACCTTTGTGTACAACATGTGGCTTTTCTTTCCTTCAACCATAACCTTGAAATTGCATTGCAGAAGCAGCAAAAGCAAACATATAACCCCCAGTAATAATATAGAGTATAACTTCGGCCAAATATATATATATATATATCCGATACAAAAAATTATATGTTAATATCTTGACCAAAAATTATGCTCGAATATAAGTAAGAAACTCCATCGAAGAAAAACACAGGAGCTTTTTTCTTGTTAATTTTTCAAAAATATATAAAACCGCCTCGGGAATTAATCCAACAATCATCAACGATCATGCAAAAGATCCTCGGGATCAAGCTGCACGCCAATCCTCCTCCTAATGGAAGCAACAGACTCGACAGGCGACTTAAACTTGTTCTGCAGGTCAAGAAACCTCTGAATATCGAAATTACGGCTCTTGATAATCTTCCTCTGCCTCGATAAGAACAGCCTCTTGAGCAGATCTTGATAACTCGGGTCCCGCGAAGTAATCAGGAAGTAAGCGTAGCCAATGACAATGCCAGCTGTGGTAGTGAAGAAAGCAATCGGCTCCATCACATCCCACGAGAATTCCCAGAACGTGAGTCGGAAGAATAGTCCTACCTGGACAACAGCTAGACCTAATCCCATCCACAGTATTCGACGAACTTGCGCGTGGGCCAACCGATCAATTTCTTCCTTCTTCTCCTTCAGCTTCTTGAACTCTTCCTTGCATGGATCGTCTTCTCGTAGTAGTGTTAGTGGAACCGCACTTCTCACCAAATCGACCACCTGAAAGAAAAATTGTCGATTTAATTCGAGGATTGTTATTTTATTATATCTTCAATCTTGAAAAACTAGCTATCGTAATAGTGTGCTCTAATTATCGAGTATCGAAGATCGACTATTGAGTAGCCGTTTTAGAACTAACCAATTCTGATTTCTGAACAAGAGCTCAATTCTCAATACGAAGGGCATATAGTAATCGATCACATTGACGAAGGGAGACGAACAAATACAATGTCGATTCATCACAATTTGGCTAATGCACTTTCTCCTCGACAATCGATTTATCGGATCTGATATACAGTTATAACGGAGGATCGGAGATCTAAGTGTATATCGATTATCGAGGCCCCAACAAATTCGTTTATTTCACCATGATTTATAAATTTGTCAAGATCTAAGGGAGAGGGTTCTTGACAGTACAGAATAAAGTGATTGTGCAAAAGTACTTATTAATCCAAGAATTGAAAAAAAGCACTTTTGTATGTGTGAAAAAAGAAGAATCAGCATAAATCGGAAAAGGGGAAGCTAAGAAGAACCTTATCAGGGTTGAGATAGACTTTGTCTCGGAAGAGCAAAACGACGCCGGCTTCATCAAGAACCCTGGCGAACGCCGCCGCCTCGCCGTCGGACTTGGCAACGCCGATGGCCTCGCAGGCTTTCAGGAGCTCGCCGTACGGAATCACTTCCTTCCCATCCATTCCCAGCTTCTCCTTCAGCGCCTCCACATTCACAAGCCTCATCAGCCTCTTCGCCTCCGCGTACGTCATCGCATTCTCGTCTTCGCCGGCGGCGGAGCTGCAGTAGTGGTGGAACTGGAACGACGGGCCACGAAAAAACCCGGAGCCGTGGCCGCTGGACCGGAATTTGGGTCCGGGTCCGGGTCGGGCGGCGGACTTGAACGCTTGTTTGAGCAGATTGACGGCCGGATTCCTCCACATATTATTCAGGCAACAATTTTTTTCTTGAAAAACAAAAGAATATTATAATTCTCTTTCCTTTTTTTTCTGAGTTTCTAAAACTTTCTCTTCCAAAGAATTAAGCGTTGTGGTGTTGTAATAAACGGTTGTGGAAATAATGTTTTTGAAAAATTAAATAACGTTGAATTTCAGTAGTTGAAAAAGGAAAGAGAGTAGGTGTGGGCCCCACTCGCTACCAGTGGGGGTGGTGCACACGGTCTGCAAGCGGCTGGGCAGTACGCGCATCGTGTCGCCACTCTCTACTCGCTAGGGTTTTGATTTTTTTTTTTTTTTTAAATTAATAGAATCCAATTATTTATTATAAATATTAAATGTGAAATATATATTTGTATATGGTAGTTTTGATTATTACATTTGCATCCTATTTTATATAATCTCTTTGTAAAATTTTCAACTACTTTATGGGCTATTTGGCAGGAAATTTGATGTTACACCTGATTATTTACACTGGGTGGATTTGAACCATAGATCTACACATACATGATACATCCATGTGTATGTGTACTTAGTATGTAGTTATTTATTCAATTCGACCGTTTAAATCTGCCCGGTATAAATAATCAGATGTATCATCTAATTGCCCGGTGTTGGCACATTGAAAAGGTTTTCGGATATTAATTATGATTTTTTTATTTTGCTCATAATTAGTTACAACATTAGTTTTTTTCGCTTCTCTAAAAATAAGAAGTTGTAAGCCATAATTCGAGAAACACCCTTTAAACAAATTTTCAATTTAAAAGCACTTATGTGACTAACTAAAAAATACATTTGACATTTTCACCCTTATTATTTATATCCGAATTCCAATTGATTGGCAAAATTTAGACATTTCACCAAACTAAGCTAAAAATCAAAATTTATTTGCCAACGCAATAACTAATAAATTAGATAATTAACATTGACTTTTTGTTGAAGAATATTCTAAGTAAGTTGCACAAACTAGATAAATCACGATCTAAATGCAATAACTCGCAAATTATACAGGAAGTATGAATCGCACATTTAAGGGTCGTTGAAAAGATAATTCATTAATTTTTCCATTATGCATTCTCGATTTTAAAAGTTCCATAGGGCTGTTGGTTAGGTAGTAAATAATAGGGTTTTAATTCATATTTTTAGACACTAAACTTTTAAATAAAATAGGATTTCTTTTTTTTTTTTTTTTTTTAAATGGGCTTTTTGACTATTTTGTTGAGATGGTTACGTGGCTTTTTTTCATATATAGCCAATTGCCACTTATATGTAATTTATTTAACCTTTACCAAGAAGCCACATTACTTTTAGTATGTATTATATTTAAATAATTAACTTTTGTCATTTGAAAAAGAAAAGGGAAACTTCTCAACAAGTGGCTTCTTGAGAACTACTTTGTCATATACAAATAATTTCCTACATTATCTTATGACTTGTCTTGGAGTTGTGCCCCACCATTTTCAATTGAGTTACATAAAAATATCTTCATTTTTAATTTAGTTAAAACTTTGTCAATATTTTTTTAGCTATGTGTGAAACATTGTAGTCTTAGATTATATCAATGTAAATGTTATTGGCAATATAATATATGGGTGCAAGGACAAGATATACATACTACTTTTCCTTAAATATGAATTTGTGATTTAAATAAGTTAACATAGGGGTATAAATCAACTGACTCGTTGGCTAGCTAAAAAAGAACACGAACTTCTGCTGCTCATAAAAAAAAAAAAAAAGAATAAACTCGAACTTAAGATAACTAATTTAAGAGTGTAAATAAGTTGAGTCGACTCAGCAATAACTCAAGTTTCTGAGCTTGAGCTTTTTGACGAGCTGAAATATAGCTCGTTCTCAAATATTTATGAGTCAGCTCTCTAGTTATTTTATCTTAATATAAGTATATAATAAAAATATTGTTAATAATATTTGTAAACTTGTTTAAACATCAAAAGGTTAAGTTTATCTATAATTTGAATAGTGAATAATAAATTGATATTTATTTTCATATATTGTTTTGTGCAAGACACATCAACAATCTTGAAATATAATATAAAATGTACAAAAATTTATGCGTACGGTCATTTGAATTTTTTAATGTAGATACGTTTGATGAGTCATAATAAATTCTGAAGCTCAATTATTTTGGAATCAATTTCGTGTGAGGAGGTTTTAGCAGTTGTCACGTTGTATGGGCACTACACCCCGTTTGTTGACCGGTCAAAATTGGTCGGTCAAAGGTCAAAATTGTAAATTCAGAGGTCCCGATTTATCCTATATGTATTACCATACCCCGATTAAAGGCCCCTATTCATTGAACCCATCCAAGTTTTTGTCTGTTCTGCTACTGAGTTGGTCTTTTTTTTTTTTTTTTTTTTGGCAAATGCCAAAAAGGCCCATCACATGGGACATAAATGCATTTTAGTCCACAAAAAAAAAAAGTCTCTCAATTAAGCCCATCCCCATGTCTTTAGTCTAAAATACCCTCAATAATATAATTCTTATCAATTTCACCCATTATGCTCTTACTTCCTTAATATTACACATTAACCCCGGATTTAAACAAATATATCACATTAACCCTCAAAACTTTTTTTTTTTCAGAAATTTTTTTTTTTCTGAAATGTTTTTTTTTTCCGGCCAGATTCCGGCGTTGACCGCCGGAGTCCGCCGGTCTCCGGCGTTGACTTTTTTTTTTTTTTGAAATTTTTTTTCCGGCCAGTCAACCACCGTTGACCGGTCTCCGGCGTTGACTTTTTTTTTTTTTTTTTTGAATTGTTTTTCTTAGAAAAAAAATATTTTAATTAATATTACTGTTTTAGCTACTAAGTTACTGTCTCAGACAGTAATATTACTGTTTGGTACAGTAACATTATGAATATTATTTTTTCCGAACAGTAATATTATGAATATTTTTTTTCCGAACAGTAGTATTATTAATATTATTGTCTAAGACAGTTAAATTACTGTTGAAGACAGTAATTTAACATCTAAGGCAGTACTATTAATTAAAATATTTTTTTTTTAAGAAAAAAAATGAAAAAAAACCAATTAACAGTTAAATTACTGTCTCCGACAGTTAAATAACTGCTGGAGACAGTAATTTAGCAAACGAATACAGTAATATTAATTAAAAATATTTTTTTTAAGAATAAAAAAGCCAATTAACAGTTAAATCACTGTCTCCGACAGTTAAATAACTGCCGGAGACAGTAATTTAGCAACGAATACAGTAATATTAATTAAAATATTTTTTTTAAGAATAAAAAAGTCAATTAACTGTTAAATTACTGTCTCCGAATGTTAAATAACTGCTGGAGACAGTAATTTAGCAACGAATACAGTAATATTAATTAAAAAAAATTGAAGAAAAAAAAAAGTCAATTAACAGTTAAATTATTGTCTCCGACAGTTAAATAGCTGCCGGAGACAGTAATTTAGCAGCCAAGACAGTAAAATTAATTAAAATATTTTTTTTAAGAAAAAACAAAATTATAAAAAAAAAAGTCAACGCCGGAGACCGGCGGTCAACGCCGGAATTTGGCCAGAAAAAAAATATTTCAGAAAAAAAATTATTTTCTGCAAAAAAAAGGTTTTGGGGGTAAATGTGATATATTTGTTTAAATCCGGGGTCAATGTGTAATATTAAGGAAGTTAGAGCATAATGGGTGGAATTGATAAGAATTAGGGTTAAAATTGGGATCAAAATTGAAATTAGGGTTAAAATTGGTTAATTGATGAAATTGGGCTAAATTGGTGTGTAAATCATGAAATTGGAGTTGAATTGAGTTTCAATGAATTGGGGGTAATTTTGGTATATATGAAAGGATTTTCCTTATTTGCAAATAAGTTTGAATAGGTTCGATTTATTTGATAAACAAAAAAATTGAATGTCCCTCTTTTAATTAAGTGCCCTTGTCATGGGCCTATTTGCTATTACCCCTTCTTTTTTTAGCCAATAAGAATTTAATTATATTTTTTTCAAACTTAAAGTATAATCTAAAATTTTAAAAACTGATAGATGATAGAAGACATTATACATTGATTATATTTATTTAACAAAACATATTGCATATTGCAGTCAACCATAATAAATAAATAAAACATACAACTGGACACCTAATAGACGATAGTTACAAGAGTTACAAGGACAAATATATATATATATATATATATATATATATATATATATATATATATATATATATATATAATTTAGCATTATCTCAAGTGATTTATCTTATTTCATTTGCATGTATTAGATAAATCAATTAGTGTAAGAAATTGTTCAATTTTCAGAGCAAATTTATGTAAGCTAAACGGTTCCAAGTCGGATAACGGATCTTATAGGAATCGACCCGCAACATTCAAGGATCCTTTTCAAAATTCTAATATTCAATATCAAAATCAAAGAAATCATATGGATTATTATTCATATTCACAAGCTTAATCAATTTGGCATTAGAATTCGCATCTACTAATAACAAAAGCTCCCCAATATCGATTTATGTACAGAGAGATCTTCTCGACTCGGTTTGGCTGTTGCTTAGATTTCGTGCTAAACTAGTTTCGAGTCGAGCAAACAAATTTTCACAGCTGCTTTCGTTTAAATGCAATACGGTTTCAAAAACTTTGAAATAATATCATGTACATGCTACTAAGAAATCTCGACGACTCGAGAAAAAAACACACTATTGGCTGTGCTTAGCCTTTCTTAGTGTCTTCACCATACCTCTTGCGATTTTCCAGAACCAGAATATGTTCATCACCGATATCACCGGCGGTACCGAAATCAAGCTGTAAAACCCCAACGGGAATATTTCCTTCACCTGTAAAATAAAAAATAAAAATAAAAATATAAAAAAAAAACGAGCAAAAACGCAGAATAAGAATACAAATATTAGGCAGCACTCGTTCGATAGGTTTGATATATATTACTAATCAATGCCACAAAAGCCTAATACGGTATCAACTTAAATTATTATGCATCGATAAATTTGGAAAACCAAAAAAAAAATAATCACGATTTCTAATACATGCGCTATAAAACGCCAATATAGAATATAAATCACTTGTAATAATACAAATGATTAATATTATTTGGTAAACATGCACGCACGCACCTGGTCAAAATGGATAAACATGTGATAGAAGAAGAACATAAACAAAACAATCCTCGCAACCTGAAAATCATTACTTAACCATTAGTTTACGTAATACGACAATCGAAAGTTACACATAATGAACTTCTGTGTTATAGAAAAAAGAAAAAATCGAGAATCGAAAAGGTTAGTAGACGATACCAGCCATCCGAAAAACAACGCGACGCCATTGTAAATGTAGATTCTTGAATTCTTCATGCCAGCAATGTCAAGACGCCTAAACGAGACTCAAAAAGAATGAAATCGACTTCGAAATTAAAGACGGAATTAATTGGCATAATTTGCTACCCGAACAAACATACCATCTCAGATTGACAAACGGGGTCGTGATTTCCGTGAAGAGAACCATTAGTATATAGAATTGTGCTTGACCGCTCAATAGAGCCATAGTGATTGAATACATAGAGAGCCCGTGATGTATGACCTGGCAAAACAGACGAGCTCGAATTAATAATCACCGTTTCCAGAAAACAAAAGGGTACTCAAGATTTGATAAGGCCGTTCGATTATAAATTCATATCTCGACATATTAGATAAATGAACTAATATTCGAGCAACTTATATAACAAGAAACATACTCCAATTCCGGTGAATTCGGAAGGTTCGTAAACTTACATACTCCATCCCACCTAAAGCGGGATAGTAATAAAAAATCATTGCCAGGTCAGACAGAAAGTACCCAATCGAAACCTGCAATATATAATAACAATAGAAATCAAATTTTAGAAATTATAGCCTCAAATTATATCGACAAAGTTGACATAAATATGAGAGAAGATAGTTAGTTTCGATAAAAGTTGGGTCAAATCTGGAAGATTTCTTTCTTTTTTTTTTTTTTTTCTCGATCGAGCTTTGATAAATATCTAAACCATTCGCTGAAACAGAACTGTTCGACAAACCGAAGGCAACTAACAAGATTATATATATCCGAATGACATAAAGACATAATGGAAATGATCTCTCTCGAACGCAATAAAAACGGAGTTAACATACCCCCAAAAGTGTATCGGATAAAGTTGAGGTTTTGCTGACAAACAATCCATCTTGAGTATAACGAAAAGATCCGAAAC